GCCGTAGGGTTCGTATCAATCACCACCACAGCTAGTCAAAATTTGAAAACGGGGGAAGGGGGTGCATGGAGGGGAGCCAAGGAGGGTGCGGGGTGAGCGGCGGAAGGAGGGAAAGGGGGGGAGGGGGGGGGACGGGGGGGAAGTACCTTGACACACCAATGCAATCTGTAGCGATGAGATTTGTTTGAGCTCAAAAACTAAATAAATAATTACGTATGCTGCTTGATTAGTCGATTTGGTAGTGAGCGGATGGTGACATGGTTAGCGGATGGGATGGGTAAGGATGGGATGGGTAAGGATGGGACGGGTAAGGATGGGACGGGTAAGGATGGGATGGGTAAAGGATGGACGGTTAGTGTGGTGATTTGAGTGAATTGGTTATATATATTACACAACACAAAGAAGCAAAACACGTACAGCCCTGACGGGCATGTTTGGCCTGCGATGTCCGCCTCTGCTCGCTCCGGCTTTTTTTTTTTTTTTTTTTTTGGGTTTTCCGGAATTTCCCTTTTTTTTTTTTTTTTTTTTTTTTTTTTTTTTTTTTTTTTTTTTTTTTTTTTTTTTTTTTTTTGGCTCTACCTCTATTTCTTACTGAAAATATCTCATATGCAGGCGTGCCCAGAAACAGAAAGAAAGAAAGAGAGAGAGAGAAGGGGAGAGAGAGAGAGAAACAAAGAGAGAGAGAGAGAGAAAACGAGAGAAACAGAGAAGCGAGAAAGAGAAAGAGAGAGAGAAACAGAAAAGTGAAGAGCGAAAAAGATACAAAGAGAAGTTCAGATGAGAAGAGAGAGAGAAGGGGGGAGAGAGAGAGAAACAAAGAGAGAGAGAGAGAGAAAACGAGAGAGAGAGAAACAAAGAGAGAAAAGGAGAGAAACAGAGAAAACAGAAAAGTGAAGAGCGAAAAAGATACAAAGAGAAGTTCAGATGAGAAGAGAGAGAGAAGGGGGGAGAGAGAGGGAAACAAAGAGAGAGAGAGAGAGGGGGAGAGAGAGAGAAACAAAGAGAGAGAGAGAAAAGGAGAGAAACAGAGAAAACAGAAAAGTAAAGAGCGGAAAAGATACAAAGAGAAGTTCAGATGAGAAGAGAGAGAGACGGGGGGAGAGAGAGAGAAACAAAGAGAGAGAGAGAGAGAGAGAAAACGAGAGAGAGAGAAGGGGGGAGAGAGAGAGAAACAAAGAGAGAGAGAGAAAAGGAGAGAAACAGAGAAAACAGAAAAGTGAAGAGCGAAAAAGATACAAAGAGAAGTTCAGAGAAGGAGGGAGAGAGAGAGAAACAAAGAGAGAGAGAGAGAGAGAACGGGAGAAACAGAGAAGCGAGAAAGAGAAAGAGAGAGAAACAGAAAAGTGAAGAGAAAAAAGAGACAGAAGTTCAGATGAGCATTCCCCAACACCACCCAATTGTAACGACCAAGAAAAAGTTCGGCAGATGCATAAGAAACCTCGTCATCAATCGCCCTATTTATTTATTTATTTATTTATTTATTTATTTATTTATTATTTACTTAAAATATTTTATTACTTATTTATTTATACTAATTAAAATTATTAAATTATTTATTGATTGATTTTACTGATTTTCCTTTTGTTGTCGTTTCTTGTCAACAGCTCGATTCAATTTTCGCTCCTTCTGTTAATCGAGAGCAGATCCCACGTGTCATCAGGAAGGTGGCAGTATTATCCCCCTGGAAGATGAGCACGGTACGGTTCTACCGTCTTCCCCCGCTGAACATAACGCGTCCTCATCACGACAGTATTGGGTCTAAAAGGTATCTTCTTTCCATCCATGATGAGGGTGCGTTTGCGTTCGGGAGAAGACGGTAGTGTTTTCCATCCGTTGTCTTTCTGATTTTTTTCTTTTTTTTTGGTATTAAAAAGGCGACGGCCTTGTGATATCCTCGTTCAACTGACCGGCCCCACGTAATTCTGAATCATTCAGAAGGCGGTAGGCCAATCAATACGTCCTGCATCACCACCAAATGTTACGATGTGCCAAAAAGAGACTGGAGACAGATTGAGCACCATCTGGATGATCAAACACCCAACCGATCCGGCCCCAACCCCCGTCACTGGTGTTCTTTCTTTAAAAAAAAATAATAAATAAAATAAATCAACAAGCCTGAATCAAAATTGGCAAGTTCATCATTGCTAAATTGCTAATATATCGTCAAACAGAGCTGCCGACGGTAAACCGAAGTAGGCAGAGCGGGACAAGAGGGAGAACAGGACAACAAACGAGGGGCTGCTGTGACAAACTGTTTCGTCGGAGTTTATAAATATATATTGTCACATTGTGAATCAGAGCGCAAAAAAGGGAAAAGAAAAAAGGAAAAGGAAAAAAGGAAAAGGAAGGAGGTAAGGAAAGCTCCACCTGTTCATAACCTCTTACGTACAAGGCCAGCCACGTGGATGACAGGTTGAGCGCTGGCTGCCCCCATCCCCGTGTGTCACAAGGACCCACTTGCACGCAGCCAAAAGGCAAAGAGGTAAAGAAGGGGAGGAGGAAACCAAACCTGACAGGGAAAGAAAGATAGGGAAAGAAAGATAATCCAATTATCACAAAGCAAATAACACATCCCACAGATCAACGTATCTTTTTTCTTTTTTTCTTTTTTTCTTTCTTTTTTCTTTTTTTCTTTTTTTCTCTTTTTCTTTTCTTCTTTTTTTCTTTTTTTCTTTCTTTTTTCTTTTTTTCTTTTTTTCTCTTTTTCTCTTTACCTGCCCCCACCTCGGCAGATAGGACAGCTACGGTGAGGACGATGTGGATGTTCACAAGGATGCCCAAGGAGAGCTGCGCCAGCACAGCATTCTGCAGGACGGCTAGCACGAACCATCCCATCAAAACAGTCCTGACAGAGGACGTGTTGTCCACATGTCAAAAACACGGCAGGACATTCATCACAGTGCGGCATCATACAGTTCTGATAGCGTCCTTGGGCACAATAGGGACAACGTATATCTGGGTGATAGGGATGTGTACAATGAGGAAATGTTGGACACCCTACAGGACATATATATCGTCAATATATGTATATATATATCGTCAAACAGAGCTGCCGACAGTAAACCGTAGTAGGCAGAGAGGGACAAGAGGGAGAAGAGGACAACAAACGAGGGGCTGCTGTGACAAACTGTTTCGTCGGAGTTATCACCGACTCGTCAGGAGGCTGTATATAATATTATATATTGTCACACAGTGAATCGGATCGCAAAGGCGGAAAAAAAAAAAAAAAAAAAAAAAACCGGAAAGAAAGAAGGAAAGCCCCGCCTGTTCATCACCTCTTACGTACAAGGCCGCCGTGTATATACCCATCGTTCCAAAATGTAATAAGATTTACGGTCATTTACCCACTTTTGCCGTTTCGTTATTGTGCGACCATCCCCAGTTTGCTTCATTTATTTTTTATTTTATTACCACTGTAATGTAATATAACACAATAACAACAATTAAATATTTTTTTAATTACAGGATTAATTATAGCACAACGTTGTCAACAACAATTTTTTTTTTGCTGTTAATTAATTATTATTAATACTGCACAACGACAACCAGGGTTGCCAGGCCGAACGTACGGAGACCCCTAAGCTGACCCCCGAACGTTCGGACGTTCGGGTCCCTGTACGGGGCCCGAACTTGAAGGGGTTCGGACCCCGCAAAAAAATATCTTGACACCTAAATATTATTATTTTTTTCTGATTTTTTTTTTGTGAGTTCTTTGTGATGTAAGGTATCTCCCTCTTAATTTTGAAGCCATTCTTTTCAGCCAAAAAACAATGAAAAATCCTCAAAGATGGTGGTGTCAAAACTTGCTTGCCCACTCACTAATTTGCCCCTTTATTTCGGGGCATGGAAAAAAATATTATTTTTTCAACCTTTATTTGTAGATTCTCTATTATGTAAAATACACATAAATTTTCATGCCATTCGTCACAGCCAAAAAAAAAGAAAAATCGCCAAAGATGGCGGTGTCAAAAACGTGCTCGCCCACTCAATAATTTCATTCTCTTTTTTTTTTTTTCATTATATTATTCATTTATAGCATTTGATTTTTATTTCAAATTTGGTAAAGAATTTGGATGTAACGTTGAGGCAAATGTTCTTGAGTTTATTATTCTGCATAACATATATTTTTCCACATTGTTTGGAATTCTTTTTTTTTTTCTTTTTTTTTTTTTGGGTCCGCGTTCGGCCGAACGGCCGAACGCGTCGAGAGGGGGKGCCGAACGTTCAGGCGTTCGGGTTCGGGCGTTCAGGTTCGGGCGTTCGGCCCGTCCCGAACGCGCAACGCTGACGACAACAATATTCGCTTTATTTATTATTAGAGCAGAACAGCAACAACAATTTTGCCTTAATTGTTTTCATAAAAGCACAACCGATTTTTTTACTTGGTTTATTTATTTATTACAACAGCAGAACAATTTCGCTTACGTTTTATATTCTAGCACGACAACAATTATTTTGCTGTTTTTATTGTTACAGAGAAACGACAACAATTACAGAGCACGATTCTTCTTAAAGCGCCACAGTGGTCGCACAGTATAATATCGTCGGGACTCTTTTTTTTTTTTTGGAAAACCTAATTAGCCCAACCAAACTCACTCTGTGTCTAATCTGACAGGGTTCCTTTCTTCATAGTCGAGTAAGAAAAATGGGGGGGGGGGGGGGGGGGGGGGAGGGAAAGGATCCCTGGAGATTCTATTTGCGGTGGGAGATTCTATTTACGCGGGAGATTCTATTTGAGCGGGAGATTCTATTTGAGCGGGAGATTCTATTTGCGCGGGAGATTCTATTTGCGCGGGAGAGATTTTATTTGCGCGAGAGACTTTGTTTGCGCGGGAGATCCTTATTGGGCGGGATCTGAAGGCCAACAGCTGACTACTACTTTTTTTTGGGTTGAGTTCTCCGTTTGTTTGTTTTTTTTGGTTCTCCTTTCGGTGAGCAGCATCGCTACAAACCTAGCCCGCGTACGCTTCAGACATCATTTTTTTAGCAGCTCAAGTGAATAATTAATTAATAATTCATTAATGTAAGTAAATAGTCAAAATTCCGAGAACAGAAATATTATTACAAAAAAGAGGAAAAGAAGGAGAGAGGCAGAATCATCATTTTCGTTTTCTGTTTTTGTTTTTTTTTAAAGATACCGGAGCCTGATTACTCCCAGGTCGCGATCGCGACGGCGTTGCATCGAAGATTCTGTCCCAGTAAATGGCCGTCGCGATCGCTGTTCTCCATATCATCCCATCCTCCCTCTCCTCCTCCTCCTCCTCCTCCTCCTCCTCCTCCTCTCCCCCCAGGAAACGCGGCAACTTGGCATGCAATCAGCGACACCATCATTATCATTTTCCTTCTCATCATAACCTACTCCATCACTATCATCATGTCATCACTCTGCTAACTTCTTCCTGCTCCTAGCCTAGAAAACAAAAAGAAAGCGTCCTACCAATCGCCATCACTATTGCTAGCGCGATTCCTCCTCCTCCTCCTCCTCCTCCTCCCCCCCCTCCTACCCATCATCATCATCATCATCATCATCATCATCATCATCATCATCATCACTACCATCACTACCATCATCATCAGCAGCAGCAGCTGCATCATCATCATCATCATCATGAACACCATCATCGTCATCTTATCATCGCCACCATCTTCATCATCATCCGTAACAGCGACAGCAGCGACGGCATGAGCATCATCATTCCCACCATCATCACTCTCGTTCGACTGTCCACTAGAACTCCTGTGCTTGTAATTCCAGAAAAAAGATATCACTGGTAGCATTCAAAAACCTCCTTGTGGTTATAACCTCCTCTCCTCTCCTCTACTCTACTCTACTCTCCTCTCCTCCCCTCTACTCTCCTCCCATCCCCTCTCATATCCCTCTCCTCGATCGGTCGTTTCATCTCCTCCCCCAACTGGTTGATCACAATGCCAACGGGCGGGATAGGATGGCAACTCTCTTTTGTTCTAGGTACCCTACCTTTCTAGGTACCTACCTTTCTACGTACCCTACCTTTCTAGGTACCCCAGCTTTTTGTTTTCCTTAGTTTTTTCCACTAAGGACAATCACGGCGGGCAACTCTGCATCATTCCCCTTCCCGTCCTCCATTCTCTCCCATCCTCCTCCGCTTCTACGCTTGCCTTCTGCTCTCCTCGTCTCGTGCTCTCCCTTCCTTGCCTGCTCTCCTTCTCTCCTGCACCTCCGGTCTAACTCTTCTACCCTCAAAATCTCGCCCTCCCCGTAGGTAGCTATTTCTCCATATAGATCGTTCTCCTCTACGCTATGTCGTTATTACTCCCCCCCCAAATAACATAGGTAGGTACTTCTCGACCTCGATCGTTCTCCTCTACCCTATGTCGTTATGACTCCCCCCCCACAATACATAGGTAGGTACTTCTCCATCCTGATCGTCTCCTCTACCCTCATCGATTCTTCCGTCCTTAACCCGCTGCTATGTATGTAATAGGACGAGATCTTCTTCAAGTAGGAAGGAGGCGAGGAGGAGGGGAGGGGGAGGAGGGGGAAGAAGGGTGGACAAGGAGGAGGAAAAGCCAAAGCGGAGGAGGGGAGAGAGAGGAGAGGACGAAGTTCAGATGGGAAAACGGGGGACATTGCACTGCTGCAGAGCGCGGCGCAGCCCCTAAAAACAGGAGGACCAAAAGAAAACTAACTGATCGAAATGATGAGCACAATGAGAGGCTGTCCATCGATAATGACGGGTAAGACGACTAAGAGAGGACAACGACGACGACGATGACGACGACGGCGCCAAAGAGAAGGAGCGAGAGGACAGGAGGTGAAGGACGGGAGAGGGGAAAGCAGGGGGGGCTTGCCCCAGTAGAATGGCTTCCCCATCTTCCCCCGAACATAACGCATACGGGCTGTATTCGAGGTTTCGAGTTTTCGGAATTTTGGAATAACAAGCCTATGGGTTGTGTTCGAAAGGAAGGACTGTTTGAATAGAACGCACATGCATTGTGTTCGAAAAGACAGCAAACCTACGCGTTGTATTCGTTTAGAACGCATATGCGTTATGTTCGGCGGAAGACGGGTAGCCATTTGGGTAGCCGTTTGCCCGGTGGCAGGCACAGAAGGAGCAGGTTGATAGAGCGAAAGCAGCCAAAGATCAGAGATAACGAGGAGGTGATGGCATGGGAGTGGTGATTTACAGTATGCGGCAGGGATCGAGGACGTCGAAGGACGACATGGAAGACGTTGAGGTCCAGCAGGTGGACCAGATCCGGCCGGTGGAAATGCAACAGGCAATGGTGGTGGAGGTAGAGAGGAGGTAGGAGGTAGAGAGGAGGTAGAGAGGAGGTAGAGGAGGTAGAGGAGGTAGAGGAGGTAGAGGAGGTAGAGGAGGTAGAGAGGAGGTAGAGGAGGTAGAGGAGGTAGAGGAGGTAGAGAGGAGGTAGAGGAGGTAGAGAGGAGGTAGAGGAGGTAGAGGAGATAGAGGAGGTAGAGGAGGTAGAGGAGGTAGAGAGGAGGTAGAAGAGGTGGAGCAGAGGACAAGGCGTCCGCGGGGATTCTGCTGGCTGCTACCGTCTTCACCGGAATAGAACGACCGGTAATTATGGCCGTATCTGGACTGAAAAATGCATCAAATACAGATATAATGACCGGGCGTTCTATTCGCGTGAAGACGGTAGTACAGCTGGTTTGGGGAGCGAACACTTGAAAACCGAGCACCGCCGATGACGCACAACACTTGAAAACCGAGCACCGCCGACGACGCACACACTTGAAAAACGAACACCGCCAATGACGCACACGCTTGAAAACCGAGCACCGCCAATGACGCACACGCTTGAAAACCGAGCACCGCCGATGGCTGCGCTCCCACCGACGCAGCCATGGGTGGGTCCATTTCCCGCCGCGCCCCCCCACACCAGCGCAAAAAAGCACGCGAGTTTCTTGCGCTGCTACTACTATTTGGAGGGTTCGGGATAGGGACCCGCCGATGGCGGCCGGCGCTCGGTGGTTGGGTCCCGTTCCCGCCGAAAACCCCCCAAATAACAGCAGCGAAAAAAAGAAAATAATAATTAAAAAAAAAAAAGCGCGCGCAATGGAAAATGGAAACAGCAGCAACTCCCGCCTCGTGAAGACTCGATTTCCGCTACCCCTCCTCCTCCTCCTCCTCCTCCTCCTCCTCCTCCTCTCGTGTCGGTATCTCTCGGTCTCCATACATACAGATATTCTCCTCGCGCACTCCCTCTTCCTCTTCGTCCCCATTACTCTTCACAGGCATCCATCATTTCCCTCTTCTTCGTCCACTTGCCATCGAGCAGAACAAGATCCGCCATGATCATCATCATCATCATAGTTATCTCGATCGTTGTCTCCTCCTCCTCCTCCTCCTCCTCCTCCTCCCGCTTCCTCAACAAAACCCACGCCCACGTCCTCATGCATCGCCAAAGCACTCAAGAGAGTCGACATTATCAAGATGATCCTCATCATCATCACCACCATCACTCTCACCATCAATCATTGTCATCATCATCAAACCGTCATCGTCATCATCATCATCATCATCATCATCTCTCACCATCACCCATTATCACTCTTACACCACTAGACAACTACAGCCACTACTACGACAACTCGTCATTACAATGACATCCTTGTCATCATCTGCAGCAATACGGGCGGCATCTCACGAGTGCCATAAGCATCACCATCGCTACGATACCTCAGTTTGCTAGGCATTGCCCCTTTTTTGTTCCTTGGTTATAGTAGCTGTCCGTTTGAATCCGTTAGCTACTTACTGTCCTGTGTTTAACGGTAGCTGTCCGTTTGAATCCGTTAGCCGCTTACCGTCTTGCTTAACGGTGGCAAAACGAGCGCCGCATATGTATCGTCAAACAGCACTACTGCCTGGTAAACCGTCGGCAGAGAGAGAGAGAGAGAGAGAGGGAGGGAGAGGGAGAGGGAGAGGGAGAAGAGGAGGACAACAAACGAGGGGCTGACGCTCACTAAAATCGAACCATCCATGATCGCACGCAGTGGCTGCGATAGCCCGTTACCTTCTTCCCCCGAATACAACGTACCTTCATTATAGCTGTATTTGGGGTACCCTTCAGTCTAAATACAGCTGCTACAATTGACCGTACGTTGTATTCGGGGGAAGAAAGGTCGTCTGAGACCCCCAACAACACCATCATCCCGACACCCGTCTTCCTAATCTGTCCATCTTCCTCCACAACATCCTCTCTGCAGTCTGTCTTTTTTTTCTCTCGTCGTCCTCCTCTTCTTGCCGTCTCGTTCCCCCCTCGATACCTCCTTCACATCCCTACCGTGACCATCTTCTTCTCCCCGCTCCCGTCGTGCAGGGCGTCGTCGCCATCTCTCGCTCTCGTTATCATCATCAGGAATAAGCCATCACATACATCATGACCGCCCCTCTTCGTCTCTTCTTCCCCGTTATCCACCTGCCCCCTGCGTCGTGATTACTCGTTATAGCAAGCACTCATTACCGACCCTCTTTCTACTCCTCCCTCCCTCTTTTCTTCTTCGTTATCCTCCTGCTTCTCTAACAGAACAAGATCGTCGGGAAGAAGGCCACAAGTGCAGAGGAATCGACCTCTGTGAGGTAGAGAGAGAGAGAGGAGGGAGAACGAGGAGACAGCGATACGTGAGATCAAGAAAGGAAGAAGAAGACAAACGGAAGACGAGGAGGAAGCCAACAACATAAGGACAAGAGAAAGAAAGAAGGACCTGAAGAACGAGGATGAGATGAACTGGAGTCTGTGAGGGAGAGAGAGAGAGGAGGGAGAACGAGGAGACAGCGATACGTGAGATCAAGGAAGAAGAAGACAAACTGAAGACGAGGAGGAAGCCAACAACATAAGGACAAGAGAAAGAAAGAAGGACCGGAAGAACGAGGATTAGATGAACTGGAGGGAAAGGGAACGAACTTACCCGCAACGTGTTTGATGAAGAGAAGAAGCCGAGAAGAGAGACAAGTCCCAAGAAGAGAGAAGCTGCTGCTGCTGCTCGTACCGCTGCCAAGCACGAACTGTGTGACAACGACTACGACCAGGAACCGCACAGCACCTTGGAATGCCGCCCCCCGCCCTAACCCGCAAAAGCGGATCGAAGGGGAAACGAAAACGGAGGGCAAAAAAGGTTGCCCCACGTAGACGCGGACCTGTCAACGGAGGCAGCTCATGCGGCAAGGTGCCAAAATCGCATCACTGAGAGCCCGGGCTCGACGTCATCCAGTAGTAGTACGCATGTTTCGGACCAGAGCGTTGGGGGACTCGTGCCCTCGATAGGCGGGCCTGAGTTCGAATCCTGAAGAAAAACAGACCTGGGAGCATGACTGACGTGGGAGCTACCAGTTGCAGGGTCATGCCTCTACGCTATAAGCCTCTTTTTTCCGATGCTGATCTCAAGTACATAACCAGGTTTCTGGAACCAGCGCAGCCATAAAATCAACTCTTTTTGCCTGTCGCCCGCAGCCTTTTTCGTCCGGTGGGCCGAGCCCCGAAGGATGCGGCGAGTTAAAAAATGGCCCCCTCAGATTAAAATAGCTGGGAAATGTCACGGAATTAGAATCCTGAAACTTGAACAAAATTTATGTTTTATATTTGACATACGTTTACATATATGTTTTGATTAAACCACTACGGTCTTCCCCCCAACATAACGCACCCTAAAAATGAATGTATACAAGCTATATTTCCGGCCAGATACAGCCAAAATGAGGGTGCATTGTGTTCGGGGGAAGACGGTAGTACCTCCGAGCTTTGAATTTCATTGTGCTTCGAGTTTGTCGAGCCTGGGTACCACTCCGGTTTTTTTTTTTTTTTTTTTTTTTTTTTTTTAAGCTATATTTTTCTCTCAATTTCACCTCACACTACCTATTTACCACTACTCCTAATTGTAGGGTACTCTCACGGAAAGAACAAAAAAAAAAAAGTTGCGGCCGTGAACCTCAAAAAAGAAAAAAGAAAAAATGGATACAAGGTTTTGGTCGTGATTGCAGTTGTATACATTATTGGAAATGGTAGTGTGAGTGAGCCCTCAATGAGGGCATCTCAGCCTCGTGGCCAGGTTGTCAGATTCCAAAAACAGAATAGAAGGGGGAAAAAACGGGCACATGGATCCGCCCATGAAAATAGTTGGATACATTCCCCTAAGTGTCAGTGTGATGAGTCTTACAATCCTCTGACAAAACACAGCTTGAGTATATCACAAACAGCTTAAGCAATTAACGGACAGGGGACTTATAAGAAACACGACAAAGAAAAAAAAGAAAACAGTAACATTCAGAATGTGACCGCCCAACCTATAAGGTGCATTTTGTGGAGAAAGATTGTGAGCACGGCCTCCTGGACTACCCTGACCGACATCATTGCAGTAGAGAAAGCATTTTTTTTTTCCCTTTTTCCTTTCACTCACGGCATTACAAAATTCAGAATTATGGGACATTGTCGCCCCTGTGTCTCACCTCCGATTTATTGGGGAACTGACAAAACCTCGTAATTTCCCAACGCTGGCGGAGGTACTAGTGGTTTAAGGTTCGGACAATTGTTAGCATTTGGGAACCAAAGTGTTTTAGGTTTATTAATAGCACAAGGAAACAAAAAAATATTTGCTACTAAAAATTTATTTTTCCATTTTTATGTTACAATTTTAAAATATTTATGAAAAATATTCATGTCAAATTTGCATTCCTTATTTTCTTCAAATATTTTCATTGATAACTAAGAGTGCATGAAATTTATAAATGTCAGTAGCTAAGATTTTTGCAAACCGTTGCTAACCCTCATTATGAACTAGTTGCCGCAAATGCAATATCGAAATGACATTTTCAATACGGTGAGAGAATGAGGCGGTTTAATATGACTATTAATTACTTTCCAAACTTAATTTCACAAACTAAAGATCTTACTATAAAATCACTCATAAATTTATAAATATGTGTTATATTAATATTATTGTGATCGACGATAATATTTATATTTTTATTTTTATTTTTAAAGCAAGTGTATCCAGTAACGAGGTACTAACAAAAATTATCAATGATGAGTAGTCACAATTTTATTTAAGATAGCAATCGTCTTCATGTGCAAGTGGATATGTATTTGTACATGTGTGTATGTTTGTGCATGTATCTGTGTGTGTGTGTGTGTGCATAAAAAATGTTGTTTGTAGAGTCATATTCACCACGTGTTACACTAGGGGTATGGCAATTGCAGTTTTGCCTAACTCTTTAGCAAAATTGTTTTCTTGTTATACAAAGTTATGCCTTAAATTCAAATGCACATGTATCTATGACCAAGTAAAATGCACATGAGAGGGTCATATATAAAGTGAACAGGGTTATAACCCCTCATTGAAAAGATGAGGATGAGTTGGTTGCCCATTCGAGATAAAATGAGCATAATGAGTCATCAAACTTTGTATAACCCAAGCACATATAGTCTCGTATGTGGTAACTATGAACGGGTTAACGCACACCCAATGCCTATACTTATCCGCACTCACGCTCTTGAAAATTATAATTTTTCAAGATCATTCAATAATTATTCAGGAAGACAGACAATCTATTGCAAGTCAAACTCATAACACAGAAAAATAAAGTGAGAACGTCGAGATGATCGTGGCTTCGAAGCTTTAGCACATCTCCATCAATAATATATTTACCAAATTTGTGCTTAGAGGTTTGATAAATGAAAATCGTACATATACAACAACGAACGTTATATAAAAAAAAAAAAAAAAACAATGGAGATGTGCACAGAGGTTTACCGCAGTAATTAACCACACATGAATTGTATTATTGTTGACACTCCTTGTTTTTTTTATTTTTCATCATTTTTCTTCAACAATTATTTTAATTATAACTTTTTTACTAAAACCAACAGAGTTTTTAACGTCTTTTCAACACGTTTGTCGCTTCGTTATTATAGTTAAGGTCTTATTACTGCAAGACATGTTAAAAGTATGTCAATCCTATAATTGGTCAGTTTCATTATTAAATTCATATTTACTGCACATTAATGTATAGCATTCAGACCGTGCATAATTTTGGCCACAAGTAACATTCTTACTTCGCTGCTATAGTTGGATTATTATTTTTTGAAAGAAACTCCGCGTTACTTTGGTCTGACTAAAGTAACAAGGTATTAACAAATTTTATCACTTTATATATGGTGCTCTCATGTTTTTGCTTATAACCCTGTACATATCGATACTTGGCATGAAGCATAGTGCTTATAAATATTTTGTGTTTTTAACAAGGTATTAACCAAATTTATCATTTTATATATAACGCTCTCATGAAGTCACAACTTTCAAAATATTTGTAAGCACTTATTGAATTATGTTTTCGCTTATCATTCTATAAGTTTGAAGTAAATATTGATAATTATAGAAAATCTTAACGACTTTTTACGTTAAATTATTTTTAAAAAATGAAATCATATGTTATTACACAAGTGAAAATTTTTTATAATTGAATGAGTAGAGGTGATAAATAATTTGCATGACTTACAAATGAATAACCACCAATACTTAAGTGATAATAATTAAGGCGAGAA